AATTATAACTTTATATTATAAGATTTATGTAATACAAATTAAAAATCATTACTATTTTAGTATTTTATATGTTTTTTTTAATTTTTTAATAAGTTATAAAAATGAATAGTTGCTTTTAAAAAAATAATTGTTTTTTACATATAAAATTTTACTTGCAAAAATTAACAGAATACAAAAAATTATTGGATTTTTAAAACAAATTTTTAAGCTATGAAAAACTCAAAATCAGTTGCCCACCATTTGAAAAATTTTTTTAAAATTATTTAAAAATATAATTATTATTTAATATTAATAGATAACTATATAGACTATTTAATGTACTAAATCTAGTACGGGTAAATCCAATCCATTAAAATTAGTTACGTATAATTTAAAATAATACGTAGTACAATTCTACAGCTCAATTTGGGCAATCAATATATTTTTTTTTTAGCCAATTAAGAGCTTTGTTGAAAATCCGGATTGACCCGGGCCCGGATCGAAGCTCTAAGACAAAAAATGTCTTCAATCACGGTAGAAAAACAAATGGCATTTCAACACCAAATAAATCGAAACGAAAGGGTAATAGAACATCGGCCAGTGAAGATGTGCAAGAAAATGCAACGATATTACAATTGGGATCACGGAGTAAAACTAAAAAGAGCAAACACAAGGAAATGAACAATTCTAGTGGTATGAGAGCCAAGTCTTGTGTCATTAGGCAACGGTCACTTGTGAATAACTTCGAGAAATTGTAAAAAATTAAATAGAGTAGTTGTTAGTGATACTGAAAGCACCAAATCAGATACAACACCTGATGTTCGTAAAGATGAACAGGTTGAAAGTTCATCGGATGGTTCACATGAATTTGATAGGAATGATGAAAATAAAATAAATTTTGCTTTGAAATTAACTTCTGAAGAAGCTGATACATCTAAAATACGACCAGATCATCACGATAAAGTAATGTTTGAAAATGCTAAGGTTAAGGCCGAAGGGGTTTGCACGATCATATAATATCAAGCTACTCTATGTAAATATTTATATGTGATTAATAGTCTTTTTCTTCTTCTTTCTATAAGATCAAAGAACTTCGAGAGAAAACCATCATAGATGCTGAGGATCAACATCAGGCATTTGCTACGAGTATATATGCTAGTGCCGTAACTGATCCTAACACGTAACTCAAAGATGTAAATTTACTAATTATTTAGCAACTTAGTAGTAACATTTATTTTCAATATTACTAATTAGAAAACTAGCACCTATTGCAGTATTGCATCAGGGTTACTATACGAGCTATTTTCCTGAAAGAGCATAAAACTGACTAATTATGTAAATGGATCTTGAGTTATATTATTATATTAGTATTAAACCAAATCTATTAATTAACAATTTTGCAGTATTGAATCAGTGTCAATGAAAATGAACTTGAATATTCATGTCAATTGTTTTTTAAACAAAAGTAAAAAAATTTTTTGTAATAATAGGGTTCGTGATTGTAACAGTTTTACCATTATACCAATGCTCGTTATATGAAATGCTTGATTCCTACTGCATAAAATGTAATTGTCATTGTTCTTATATATAAGCTATTAGGTTAAGGTCTAATTAGATAGAGCGAATTTATTTATTTATTTTTTTTAAATGTTAGTAGATTTGAGCAAAGATATCTCGACAACCACCTGACCAAATTCGATGAAAATTTTTCATTCAAATTAATAAAAAAAAATTCATCAGGCGGTTGTTGACATAACTTCGCTCAAATCAAAAAATCCAAAACGTCTATCAAAATAAAAAGTTGCGCTAATTTTTTTTGAAACCTTGAGCGAAAATATCTCGACAACCACTTAATAAAATTTGATAGCTCTTTTTTTATTTGAATCCTTTATTATCATAGAATTCAGATAAAAAAATTCATCAAATTTGATCAGGTAGATGTCGTGATATTCTCGCTCAAAGATTTTAAAAAACTCAAAAATAAAGAAGCTGCACCAAAACTTTGAGCGAAGATATCTCGACAACTACCTGATTGAATTTGATGAAAATTTTTTTATATGAATTCTATGAGAATAAAGGATTTAAATAAAAAAAGAATCATCGAATTTGATTATGTAGTTACCAAGATATTTTGCACAAAGTTTTAAAAAAATTTGACGCAGCTTTTTATTTTGATAGACGGTTTGAATTTTTTGAAACTTTGAGCGAATATGAGTTTATACTGTTCGAATAAAAAAATTCTCATCGGATTTGGTCTGGTGGTTGTCGAGATATCTTTGCTCAAAGATTTAAAGAATTATTTTGATAAGCATTTTGTAGTTTTTTTTGAACCTTGAGCAAAGATATCTCGATAACCACCTGACCAAATTCGACGAAGTTTTTTTTATTCGAATCAACTAAAATTATATAATCAAAATAAAAAAATTTTATCGAATTTGGTTAGGTGGTTGTCGTGTTCAAAGGGTTTGTTTTTTAAGGGGGGTATGATTATTAAATGTGGGGGTATGAAAATTGGCTCCCTATAAATATTATAAGACTACAGTATATGAAGCATCTTCACTAGCAAATAAGAGCTTAATAATTTATCACGGTAATTATAAATGAATTGTAACTGAATAAAAAATTTAAAGGTTGAAAAATTAGGTGTTGACAGATCAAAAATCCGCCACTTTTACGTAGAAAAACCACGTTTTTCCAATCTTGATTTTTTTTGGAATCTCGAGTTACACTTTAAACTAACACTGGTAAAATTTATGGATGTCACTCAAACTGCCATTCAAACTGCCATTCAACACTATCACATGACTTCACGTCCGTGATAGTGTTGAATAATAGCTCGAATGGCAGTTTGAGTGACATTCGAATCATGCCATTTAACATGGCGAATTTTACCAGTGTAATCGACAAATTCTTGACTATATCCAACCTTTTAATATTAGCACCTATTCGTGTAATATATTTATTACAATTATATACAAAAGTTTAAAAAATGTCAAACACGTTGGTCAATATTATAATGATAAGTTTTATACATGTAATATAAAAATATTTATCTTTTATATACCGATCATGCCAAAGTCACTAACTCAATCGGTCGACGGCAAATTTTTTATCAGGTGTTTCAGAAATATTTTTAGTAATGCAATAATTTTTGTTTGACTTAACTTAGAGGTTGGATCCTTTGAATATCCATCATGGCTATTCAGTAAATATTCGCGGGTTTTGAAGTTTACGAATAACATTGAATGAATATCTGAATTATGAATAGATACCCATCTATTATTGTAACCGTGAATATTCACAACGCAAATATTCATGAATTTTGTGTAACCGAATATTGAATATTCAATGAATATCCATTTTTAACCGTGAATATTCATGGATCCAACCTCTAACTTAACTACTAAAATAAAGCTACGGCAAGCGTCAGTAATTACGGCAAGCGTCAGTAATTACGGCAAACGTCAGTAGTTACGGCAAACGTCAGTAATTACGACAAACGTCAATAATTACGGCAAACGTCAATAATTACGGCAAACGTCAATAATTACGGCAAACGTCAATAATTACGGC